AAGGGTCAGGGGCAAACAGTCTAACTGGGACCGTATTTCCAAGTAGGGCTTGGGAGGAAAGTCACACAAACCATTGGAGGACAAGGTCTTACCTTGACCATTCTGGTGCCAGGATGGTCAAGTCACCAGCAGCCTACAATACAAAAATGACATGATGCACATGTTCCTGACCGCTGGGGACAGGCGTGCGGAAGAAATTTTGGGGCTTTGAAAGGCCAAACAGTCACCGCAGCCGAATGCAGTTGTCAGACTGGATAATCTACAGCACTGAGAATTTGCAAGGAGCCAATGTGTGTTGGGACAAATGAGGTTCAAACGCGAATGCATCTCCCTTAGTACAGATCAGCAAATGGACTCAGACGACAGCTTGGGAAGCTTTCGTAATCACAGAACACCCGGCCTTCTCCATGATAGGATCCCAAGTGGGACCCAACATGTCAGCCACCAAGACCTCACCTTGGTTGAACTCACGCATTTGGTCGATTTTGGTTAGGATGTTCACCTTGCCGCTTCCAATGCACTTGCCGACGGCACGGCCCTTGGCCACCTTCTCTCCTTTAATACCAAGTCCTGGTTCCAATGTCCAATGTCGGTACTAGACTATTCCCTGATTCACGCTTGCACGAGATTTCCGAAGCTCCACGTGTTCCAAACCGCAGTTCTGCAGCTTCGGAAAGAGATTGGGATGCAAAACTTGCGGTGTGGTGTTTCTGATGAGAAGCCGCGCGCTTGACAAGATTTCACATATCGTAAAGACCATGTCACCCTGCAAGAAGATGGGAACACGGGACACTAATCGGGGATTTACACAGAGCGCCTGGACAGCTTCCAAAAGACTCAACCTACCAACAAGCCATTAATTTCCACAATCAAGTAATTGGGGCTTTGGGGGTCGGAGCCCCGAATTCAACCCTAAATAAACCCTGCAGTGCACTCTAAACCTTAAACACCAATCGCTACATAAGGGGGCGTGGATAATTCCTAGGGTCTGGGCAACCTTGCTCATTCGAAGCAAGTACAACCTACTTCTTACTGCAGATACAACCCACGAATGCACCCCATGAGCTGCCTGGTGTGGTTACAACTGCTCAAGTCAGGACAATTGCCTGGAACCGCCACGTACAAATGCCAAAGTCTCAGCACATGAAACGCATGTGTTGCAAGCCAATCTGCAGGTGGCCGTCCATAGTCATCGCCTGCCACGGAGAAGCTATTTAGAGGTCTGAAAGGCGAGTTCCGGAATCGAACCGAGAACTGGGAACTGGAACCGTAGGAACCGAACCGCTGAAGAACCTAGCCAGCACGAACCGTCGAAACCGACCTGTGAGAAGGTTCATTGACCCCTTCCCGAAAGCTGTAAACTTAACATCCCCAGCCATTCAAACAGGAAAAACACATATGGTGACTCCCACATCTGGGGGAAATCACCACTTCGCTGGATCTATTGAGGAATCTACCTGAAGTTACCACAAGAAGGAAGACCCATTGTGTAGCATGTATCCATATCATGGCAACTCGTTTTAAGTTCATTCTAACCCTTAATGACCCCAAGAAGACCACAGCTTCCATTCCAAGTTCTGTTAGATCAGACCACGTTCCAGACTTGCAAGCAATCGGCAACAGACTGCATTGGCAACCATTGCTCACTCCTCAAGTGTCCTAGGCTCCTCCACCTAAAATGAACCCGCCCCCACCCCTCTGCTGATGAAAATTCTGAAGAAAACACTCTTCTATAATGCGCACATGCCACATGTAGGTGGAGAAGGGGATGAATGATCAATGCGGCATACAGGTTCAGGCTGGCAAGCACCCCTGCAACAAGCAGGGCAAGCGCACAGGCCCTTTTATTCCCCAGGAGTCTTGCAAGGTCAGTTAGTCCGCTATGTACGAAGTGGCCCATGTCCACTGATTTTTTCGAATCTCATCTTGCAATCCATAATGGCTGGCTTTGAAAAAAGTGTCATGACAAGGCTTGCGAGCGGCTGTGATTGAAGTGTGGATGTATAAGCTCATCAAGTTCGTTACACAACTACATACATCTGTTCCTCACCAGAAAGCCAGACAGATCCCAACCCCCGTGTCTCGCACAAGGCCACAGTCTACGTGTTCACCATGCATGTCTGTAGCAACACGGGGTTTGGGGGTTTGTGCCTTTTAGGCAGGTACAAATAGTATAAGCACACCAAAATCAGAGTCTCCAACTTTCGTCAGAGGTGCATCGACTTGCATCGAGGCAGGAGAGTTCTGAATTGTGAAATACAGCTGGCCCGTCGAGAGAGAGCCTAAATCGAGAAATGATGAGCCTTGACGCTCCGCGCACGACGCTTTTGTACATTTTGAGTCCAGATTGAGCGTCAAAATCGGCGCTGAGCTTCAAACAAGATTTCACAAGCCGATAGCCGAACCAGCTGAGTATATGTACAAGCTGCAGGATCAAGGCTGAGGGCGCACGTCAAGAATCTCAATTCCCACCGTCAAGCTGCCGTTGCCCCGGTCCACCTGAAGGTTGGGTGCTTTGCAGAACTAAACGGCGACAATTTCACAAACCGAAGGGCCACAAACGATACACCTCACATGTGCGCAGTGCCTTTGAAACGGCCCTTGATGGGGGATCTCCCATGCCTGAAAACTCCCGAACTGCTGACACTGTATCCCTGGCATAATGCAATTTCATCTAGCAGCGGTCCACATAAAGGCTTCGTAAGTTCTGGGCATATCTGAAACCAAATAGATTACGAATGAAAACATAATAAGGACCCGAAAAGGGGTCGCCATCAATCCTCTTCGTATCTTACTCTGATTCACACTGCACACCTGCCTCAAGCTAGATACGTCAAGCCTGATGAGGAGCTTTAGCGGAACCCCTACGCCCTCTGAGACTGCGCCAGAATGGTGTCCCTCATTTCGGCACTCCTTTGGGGTTTGTATGGTCCAAACTCTAGTAGATTGTGGGGGTTTACACAGGCACTCTGATTTGGCAAATCCCGCTAGATCTGCATAAGCCCTCAACCCTACATGCAAGCCCATGGATGTTTATAAGCGTGATCATAAGTATGCACGTTAACTATAATGTTGGACCCGCTTATGC